GTGTAAATATTGCCTGCTTTTAGTAGTGCATGATATACTGACAGATACTGCTTTCCCCATGCCCTGTGGATCTTACACATTCTATTGTTACACTGCTGGGGGGAAAAGCATGGAATTTAATGTATGTTCATGATGTAATTTGAGTAATTAGAATATAGCTAAATATTGAAAAGACATTTCAAATTTCTGACAGAAACTACTGATGAGTTTTTCATGTTTATCTTCTAAAACCAGCAAATATATGCAGACTTCCTTACGTGAGATACAAAATGGAAATATCAAGGCTTTCCCTTCTTTATTAATTGGGGGGGGGGGGGGCAAACAAAAAACCCCACATTTTGCTAATTATGGAGAAAGTTTGGGACTTGTAACTTTTGAAAATTAGCAGGTTTTCATATGTAGAAAGCATGTAAAGGGCATGTGCTACATACACAGCAAATGTATGCTAATGTTTAGCTACATAACTAATATTAAAATACACCTGAGAACATATAAATTCAAACAATTTCCACCTATTTATGGGCAATAAATTTCACTGTGATCTTAGTTTCTAACATTTGGGATGTATTGCAACAAATATTATTTCTTCCTTAGTTTGCAAAAAGACTCTGTGAAATCCATTTTCTAGCTGCATAGACCAGCAAGGGAAGCTTGGAAAGTTTCACACATGTACTGCTTGGAAGGTGGTTACATCTAAAATAGTCCTGAATGACTTTGAGAAAAGCTTAGTGGCACCTGGGTAGATGCTGTTTATGACATTGTAAAAGGTCTGAAAGTTATCCCTTAGTGCAGGGAAAACGACACGCATTTGGCCAGGCTAAAGACATCTATTTTGCATGTGACAGCCACCTACTATAATAACCTCTATTCCACTGAGTGAGGAACAGCGTTTAGATTAAACTCTCAAACTCAAATTGGCATTGCTTTAGTATTTAATTATACATCTTTATATGAATAATTATAATACATAATTATATTAGTATTTGAATTATAATGCTTAATTACATGCTAAACTTTTTAGAGTTCAAGTTTTAAAATAGCTGGAAATAGTGAAAACATCATCCTATTATTGAATTTGTCAGGTTTGTGCTGATTGCCAGACCACTCCATCTTTCCTCACGCTTTTGCATATAAGAAGCACTAGCGTAGCAGTATTTGCTTAGCTTCTAATTTTGGTTTGCTTTTTGTGTTTTTTCTTTCTCTCTCTTGGTTGTGCCGTTCTCCTTCCCATGATACTGTGCTCGCTCTTTCCGTGCATCACCTGTGGTACCCCCCTGCTCTGACCATTCAGCTGTTGGTGAAGGGGGTACATGAAACTCTGGTAGCTCAGAGAGTTGTTCCTGCTCTCATTACTCTCTCCAGTGACCCTGAAATGTAAGTTTTCTGACTGTCTTATATACCTAGCATCCCTCTTAATGCTTAGGAAGAAATAACCATCAGCTTTGTTTCTTATTCTAGCTGAAAAAAAAATTGAATCACTTTTAAACAAATGTGACTTTTAAATCACTTATTTGTAAATAAAAAGTTTTACTGGAATGCCTAGAGCTAAACTGGGTAAAACTGCTGAATAAACTTTAAATAGAAAACTTAAATCAATGTAATTGAGTTTTTATGGTTTTTTATATTTAATTGTATTCTCAGTTTTTAAATTTGCTTGTGTTATTTCTAGCAGAAAGCTGGATATTAATGTGTTCTGTAATGCTATCAGCTTTACTACTGTAAAATTAAATATCATCCACGTTACTGAAATGCAAAATAGTTTGGGCTGTATCTGATTTCTTATAGACAACCGTAGTACTTCATTTCCTGGACATTCTGATGTGATATTTCTTTCAAGCTAAGGAGGGATGCTTTGCTAATCTCACTAACAGGTTGTTACTAATAAATGCTACAGCATGAATAGAGTCTTAATCGTTTTAATGTCTTGTGTGGGTGAATAAACCAAGAAAAACCCCAAGAGTCTGCCTGCCCATCCTCAGTCACAGCTAACCCAGTTCCTCAAGTTTACCAAACCGTTTTTTATTGCATGTTGACTGGTTTACAGCTGACTCTTCGAGGCATGAGTGAAGCCTTAGTTGACAAGCGGGTTGCTCCGGCCCTTGTTACCTTGTCCAGTGATCCTGAATTGTGAGTTTCAGACTGAGACCTTGAGTTAATCCTGTCTGTCTTTTTCCTGGTCTGCTTTTTTTTGTTTTGTCATTGCTAGAAACTAATGTAACTTAAAGTACTAACTTTCAAATTTTGCTTTATTTTAAAATAATTTTATTCTTACTGTTTAATACATCTTAAAGACTCTGTTTTTCTGTTGTAGTTCAGTAAGGATTGCAACAATTCCTGCTTTTGGGACCATCATGGAAACTGTTACTCAAAGAGAGGTAAGACACCTGTTGTCAGGCTGTTGTTTTTGTAGCATAAGTAGTGGGTGTTTTTTGATAAATGCAGAAACCCAGTAATTCATTAATGAACTTGGAGGGGAAAAAAAATCCAACAGCTTATTATTTCTTAATTTGTTATATCCTCTTTCAAAATGCTTTCCAATTTTGCAATGCTTTGTTTGGTTATTTTGGGTTTTTTTCTGGAAAAAAACCAACTCTCTTTTAACTAATAAAAACATTTCCTTCTAAATATCAAAACAAACATAAACAAAGAAAAACAGATATGTAGAGCAGGAGGCTTGTGCTGGAAGATGGGAAATCCCATGCTTAAAGCGTTTTTTTTAAAAACATTCTCCAATACAGTTGAGAAATCAAAGTCCATTATTTCCAAATAAAATAGCTTTACTTCAAAAAGCTAACTAAAAAGTCAAAGTGGGATTCAGTTACCTCCACACAAGTATATTGTACCATTTTCCATGCTTTAGGATATCCTGCTTAGCTTCCAACTACTTTAGAAGGACTCAAGTCTCTTGTAGTTCCTGTCGTATCTGCTAGTTTACCCCATGGTGTCCAAGATGGCATTAAAAGACATCATAGTGACATAACTGAAATAATCCTTGGGGATAATACAGATATGCAATTCTACCTTGTTTTTTAAATGACAAAACTTTGATAATAGAGCATAAATCTGAAAAAGGCACCCAAGATTCTGCTGTAAGCAGTGGCGCTACTGTATTTAGTTTTATATAACTGTACAATCAAATTTCTTCTTAGAGTCCTCACAACTTTTTTGCAGAGCTTGCATTCTTCCTGTAATTTCAACATATTCTAAAAGAATGTGTTTGAGGAAATGTGAGTAAGAAGTCAGTGATGACTCACAAGTACTTGGAAGATGGTTAAGTTACAATTTTTAGCTTGGAATGCATGCCTGTAATCAGTTTGGGAAGAATACTGTTTTGTTACCACACAAAAATTACTGTATCCATTGCACTAATTATAATAAGCCTTAGAGTACAGAGGTGATACCGCCTTCCAAAATGTATCAGAAGAAAATGTTATTTTTTTCAACTTTGAATGCAAACTATATATATATATATAAAATATCATATTAGATCCTTTAGTTGAAGACATCTTTTTAATTCGATTGATTGTTATGATGCTTACTTTTGTATCTCTGTGTTCTGCAGAAATTTTTAAGCATACTAATTGAGATACATTACAAAAAACACCACTTGAAATCAGTTGTAATTAAACAGGAAAACTCCAAAGATATTAATAGTAAGAGGGAAATGTTAATAGCAGGTAAAAAATGTGCGTATGAAAACTAAGGAAACCTCAGGACAAAAGACCAACTATATGGAAGCATCTGTGTATAGTTAAAGACTGTTAACAGTGTTTTAATCTGATATTAAATATGCAGAGCTTCACTGAAGAGTTTGGAACATGCTGTAAAAAAATAATTGTAAATTAACAGAAGGCCCAAGGTTTATAATCTGAAATATGGAATATTATAGGCACGCTCTGAACTGACCATGATGGCTTCTAGCATCTTCATTCTTTTATATACTTTTTATTTCTCTGGGAATATTTAAGCTTCTGGA